CATTCTTTTGCCACCCGGGTATTATCAATTTAGCAAGCGCCCGGCTGTTTGCTTGCCAGTGTCCAAGAGAATGTTGACAAGAGATTTTAAAGACATTTGCTGTGTCACTGCCCCTTTCTAAAGCCTGACTCTACGTCACAGAGATGATCTCATAGGTTATTTCCTAGAAGGTTTCCAGTACAATGTATTTCTTAAATTGAACGCTTCATGGTTTCCTGCTCCGCTACAAAAGAACCCGGTTGGGATAGAGTCTAGTGGAGCAGGCAACGTTATCCGGTCCTGTGCAATCCTTTAATCAATACCAAACTGCCATAACTTTGACTTTTTAAACCATTATGTGATACCACACCTACTATCACATATTTCTAAAGAAGCCACAGATTGATGCTATCTGTCAATTGTCCATTATGTTAACCATGACATCAACATCATTTTTCAGGCTTTCTGTTGCTCTCTTCCATGTCAAAATATGTTGTTGGAGATTCAAAGAATGGGGAGGCGTATGTTAGGGACATACCTGCTCTATTGTAAAGTCCTTTTTGGCGTTTGTCACCCTTAAATCTGGACAAACATTGTGTTTAACTGACCAGAGCGGAATCCAAGTCAGCATGGCAGATATTGAGGCTTAGGATATTCTTAGGAAAACGACTGTGACAACTAACAAGGTTGTTTTGAGAGGTAACTAGTTAATAAGCTACTGGTTCTGATGATTTTCTGATCACCTCCTGTGCTATATACCCGGAGGTTTGATTTTGCTTTAGTTCAGCTTGACAATGACAACTTTTCACATTATGTAATCATATGCATATAATTAAATAATATGATTTCACACCCTGCAACTCGACTAAAAGATCTGTCCTTGGAAGAAAACTGTAGATCATCATGATGATGGATCAACAAACCCAGTGTCATTATAATTTTCTATCACCAACAGATTTGAACAACTAGGTTCCTGGCTTGATTTGAAGCACTTTAACGGGTCAAAACTTCATGAGTACCTCTTCAAAAAAGAGGTACTCTGTATATCTCAGCTGTTTTGTGCACTAGACTGTATAGACTGCAACAAAGGCTACTTGAAACCAATAATCACTGAAATGGCTGCGAGTATTCCTCTACCTGCACAATATGCTACTTAATGGAAAAGAAATCAACTTGGCTTCACCCGCCTTTTGTTCAAAGGTCGACTAAAATGTATTATGAAAGGGTCTTCTAAGTGAGTTAATGTATAAATCATTGACCTGTGGCTACAGCCTTGTGCAATTGGTTGTGCAAATTGCTGCTTCAGACAATCTTTGAAAATGCAAGTTTGCAAGGCACAGTTTTGTACTCGTGTGGATGCTCTATACTACTACAATCCAAGTCCAAGAAGATATTTAGGTTTCACCTTGCTTCCTCATCTTGACACATTACAACAGCTAGAGAAAGTGTTATGTTCATTTTATTACACTGAACAAGGTAAAAATTTCTCCTTCTTATTATGCCCTAGATTTGGGGCCTTGTGTCCTGAGTTACAATTTACTTGTACATACAATGTCCTTCCAATTCAATACTGAGTTACAGTAACACAACCAAGCTCAAGATCTCGGTTTCCGCCCTTAATGTACTGCCAAGGTTGTGATAGCAATAAAACAATAGACTTTGTTTTCCCACTTATCCTCTTACAGCTGCAGCCTGGGATGTATCCCAGTTATAGGAACACCCCAGGTGCCACTGAGCTTGAAATCTTAAATAACTGCATTGGGCAATGTTACAGGTTCAGCTCAGTACAACACCTACAGGCAAATGCATATATAAGATCTACAGTATTTTACTTCATTGCAGGCTTTTAGCTAGGGGGTGTACATGTCCAGGGTGTCTTTTGGACGCCCTGTACTGAAAATAATAAGAAATTGGACGCCCTACTTTTTTGTAGGGCACCCTAAAGACGCCCTATTTTTTCCACTCCCAACCCCTGCCATGCACACATGCCTCCCTTCAGCCTTACTATAAATACAAAAATGATGGTTTACTGAAGGAAAAAAATCAAATTTACACCTGAAAATGCAGAAAGTAGTGTTTGAGAGCCTTATGAATTTCAAAAAAGCCCCCCTAAAATCTTGCACTCAGCATGTCTTCACTGTGCATAGCATACAATTAAAAAAAAATGGACGCCCACCAAAAAAATCCTAGCTAAAAGCCTGCTTCATTGCTTTATTGGTTTTAATCAAATTAAGTGTGTGTATACAAATGTAAGCAACAAAGATGTATCCGGCTTGAACAAAAAGGAAGATATCCCTAGTTTTTTCATGGCTGTATTAAGAGGATTATCAAAATGTCAAAACATCATTGACTAGACCAAAATTCAAGTTTAATGCTTGTAACTTAATTTGTTACGTGCTGTAAGTAATTGTGACAGGTGTATTACGAAGTTGTTGTATAAATGCTATGCATTTTACACAGTGTATAATTCCTTCAGTTTGAGTGAATAGGACAGTGAGACCCATAACTGAATGTCATATATAGCTCATGACGTGGTGTGTTTTGGGTGTAGATGGGCAAGTTGTAAATAATTGCTATTCCAGCCAAGGGGATAAGACGCAGCTGTGACACATCTAAGGTCCGAGGTCTGGAAGTGCATTCATTGCCGG